TGCTGCCGCCGCCTAAATGCCCAAAGTCGCGAACCAAACGCATAACTTTCGCGAGAAGTTACGGTGAATGCCCGCGCCGCATCTAAAAAGTGCTCCCAAACAGAGCCTATATAACATGGAATGGTATGTATTGTGAGAGAAAGGAACTGCTTGTAGTCTATGGCAGAAATGTTGCAGTATAAAGAATTGTCTGAACTTTATTGCCTTTTTTTGGTTCAGTTTTATTCAATCCTAATCTAAGCTGGATGGTCCAGAATCTTCTGACGAGCAGTGCAGGTCTTTATCATTTCTTTGTTCCTTCTGCATTTAGTATTGGAGACTTATGAAGAGACTACAAAAAAACAGTTAGAATTAAGAGGGTGAGAGCATTTGGTTTTGTTTTCATGAATCAACTATTTGTATTGTAACTGACAAGTTTATAATCAGCTAATAGCTTTTTCTGGAGACTTGATCGGTTTATTTGCGTGTCATTAAGTATTTATGTTTGAAATTAGCACTAAAACTTTTAAAATTAATAAATAATGTATTTGAGTGATGAAATTGTCTTTAAAAAATTTTTAACCTGTTAGAATTAAAGTTAATAAAACATCATTAGGTAATTGTCTTTATAGATACTTTTTAATTCACTTTCAAATTATGATTGAATGATGGCGCGAAGATTGAAAAACATTATTAACAGTGAAAATAAATATTAATGTGTGGATTTAGAAATGCATTAAAACCGAAGAAAGGCCTCTTTTTGGCTAGAAAAAGATACGATCAAATAGTATCCATAATTTTTGTATCATTGGTCTTATGAGCCGAGGTGGCATATGCATAAGATTTATTAGTAGTTTAATGATACGGAGCCAATAATTTTAATTATTATTTTAATTTGATGATTAACCAATAATGAGAAGGATCTCGGCCCAGGTTTTGGGTTCACACAAGCCTATCTTCTAACCCCTTGCATCAAACCAGTTTGTGCGATTAATGGTTGCAGATCCAAAGTTTTTGGTATCTCTTTCTGGAATTGATTGCTATATGAACGAAGGCTCTCGTTCTGACTTTGATTGATTTGCAGTAGGGCTTATGACTTGTTCCGTTGTTTTTGGGTGTTGGTTGAATTCGACAGAGGGGATCACTCCTGCCTGTAAGCTATTGAATAATGTGAGGGTTGGCTTTTTCAATGTGGTAAGTAATAGTCGACATGTTAGAGCATCAGTGATTTTCAATATACAAACTGCCGATTTGAAGGCAACTAGATGATCAGTCTGCTCATTCTTAACCTTATAAGAATCCAAGTTGGGAGTTTTAAACTTTTGTAGAGGGTCAGCCTTTAAGATATGCTGAGATAACACATTCTCTGGCTATTGATGTCGAGACGCTTCGACACATACAAACTGATGTCTGTCCATCGATGACCCAGTAATATCAATGTACTGAGAATCTTCTAGCACTTTTGTTGCCTGGATGGTCCTTCGATCAACTAGCGTTGGTGGTTCTTCTTTAGGTTGCACCCCATGAGGTTGTG